ACCTGGCATCTGGCTGGGTCTTTCTCCCGGCTCCTCCACGTGTCTATCCTGGGTCAGAACGTAGTGGAAACCAAATGAAGAAAGTGTGAGTGGATAGGGAAGGCCCGGAGGCCTGAGGGTGAGGCCTGGGGGCAGGAGGTGAGCTGGCCTCTGTCAGGAGACACGGCAGAGCACGTGGAGCCTCTGTCTAACGAGCTTCTAGCTCATTCCTTCACCCTCTTGCTGTTCAGCCCGGATCTTAGCCCCTGGTTGACCCTGTCACCCTCCTGCTGGCTCTGGAACCTTGCTCGTTACATGCATTGTCCATCATGTGCTTGAGGCAGCCATGAAATCGGAGGGAGCGCCGGCGTCCCGGAGCCGGTGGGCGGGGGCCGGGTGGGAACTCGGCCTCTGCCGGGGACGGGGGGCAGTCACCCAGGTGGCACTCGGCCTGCAGCCTTCTTGGGCCCCTCCTGGGAGGCTGATGGGCTGGCGAGCATGGTGGCCACACGCCCCCCTGCCGGGACAGCAGCTGGTGACTCCGTCTGATCAGAGGAGGGCCAGCCGCCCAGCTGTGCCGGGAGCCCGAGTGGAACGGAGCTCCTGTCATTGCACTAGGCCTGGGCATCCCAGAAGGTTGGAGCGTGGAGGGAATGGGGCTGTGCTGGCTCCGGGGAACCTGGAAACAGGAGGGACACCAAGGTCACCCGACCCCTTTGATGGGGCCTGCCCAAGTTGCAGAGAGGAACTCTGCGTCGGACACACAGCAGTGACCAGTGCGTGCTAGTGTCACCACTGTCTGCAGGAGATGGGACAGAGGAATATAGCCATAGCAGTGACCATGACCCGTAGAAGAGGAAAGGCAGGAACAGATGATTCACACGCAAGGAAATAACAGTGATTAACACACAGCCCCTGGCAGCTCTGGTGGCGTTGGGCTGACAGCTCAAAGGCAGGCGATTTCAAGTCCTCCAGGTGCTTTGTGGGAGAAGGGTGGGCTTTCCCCTCCCTCCGAGAACCCACGGGAGGGTCAGCTAGGAGTTGGTTCCGAGTCGCCAGCAGACAACAACAACAGCGCACGGCTTCAGGCTGCCCCGTCTCCGCCGCCATCAGTGTACATACTGCAGCATCAAGCGAGGCCTCTGACTTGGCCCTGCCCGGGAAACATCACCTGCGGGTGTGAGGAGAGCACCTCACCTGTCTGAGCCACCATCTCCCTTCTAAGGACCTGTCCCACGGGAGCAAACCAGGTCACCCTAGTGTGTGGCAGAGTCTCCCCTGCCCCTGGCATGGAAACAGCAGCATTTGCCAAACTGGACCGTAGGTGCTGGTCAGCAGGGACCTTGGAACTGTGGACGGGGAGGACATGACGTACGGCGCTGGCGTTGACCATACGCTGTGCTTTTACCTTTATATCTGCATCCTAGAGGTTTTTTCACGACAAGGGAAATGATTCAAGTGCGTCTGCTTTTCTTTGCTCCTGACCTGGGCTGGCCATCAGCTCACTCGCACCTTCTCTGGCTTCCTGCATGGCTGCAGGGTCACACGCGCTCCGACTGGGTCCCCACACCAGTGCAGGAGGAAACGGACCATTAGTGCATGTCCAAGGTCACTGAGTCTCACATCAACCAGAACTTTTGTCTGCACACTTCTGTCCTAGTGGCCACTTGGGGGATTGTTCCTGGTCCTTGCTCAGTGAGGCCTGTGACAGGCCCAAGTGCCATCTGGCAGGTCCCTCCCACCACTCCACTCAGGGGCCCCCAACTCTTGTCAGTGCCGTGTGTCTGGCCGTCATAGGCTCTTTATCCAGGTCACTCCAGAAATGTGTCAGGCATCTCTTGCACGTCTGGTGCTCTTGCTGCATTTTCGCCCCTCCCTGCTTCCCATCCCACCACTGGTGCGTTTCTTGGTATCACTGCGTTTGTTCCCATGCTCACACGTACTTTCCATATTTATCTACAGAGCACCCAGCTTCTGTGCACTGGAAGCTTCCGTGTGTGAGGGGGCTGTGTGTTGGCTATCCGCTCGGCTGTACTGACACACCCGCAGCACCCCCAGGTCCACAGCTGCCCCAAAAGGGGTGCTCACCACCTCTGACGGGCGAGGCAGGGAGGAGTGCAGCTTCTGGTCCCAGCCAAGCAGGGAAATCTCCGCCGTAGGCTCTGTTCACTGCCTCATGGTTTGTGCTGAGATACTGAGTGGTGGGTGACAGAGGTTGGAGGGCCTGGCCACATCCCAGCACTGGGACCTGTGGAGAGAATTCGCTGCCTGGAGGGAGCCCCAGCCCACCAACCAGACACCCCCCACTGGGTTCTTGCAATCCAGAACCTTCCCTGTGTTCTTCCTAGGGACTCCAGCTGTCCTGGGGTCTAGATGCCCAGTCGACCTTATCAGGATAAGTCACTGACCTAGGTGGCACGTCCCAGTCCATTTTTGCTTGGCTAGACTCATGCCCCTTTAGTGCCCAATGCCAGCTTGGGCAACAAAGCACAGCACTGGCCACAAGTGGAGGCCCCTGTAAACGTGTCCACGGCGGGCTTCGGAAAAAGCCTGGGTTTATCTTGTTTGGTCTGACTGGCTGTCGGTGCCGCCCAAGCCCCGTGGGTGAGTCGTGGACTGAGACCGGCCTCCCCACAGCGTGAGAAGCCTGGCTGAGGCAGCGTCTCTGTTTAGACTCCCAGCTCTGGGAGAACAGCTGGCGACTTAGAGTTTCACCCTTTCAGAGGGGCTCTGATGTCCCCGCTCTCATAGCGGAGGAGCGAGTGTGGGCTGGCCGCGCGCTCACCCATCCTGTCTCTGGCTGCCTGAACTGCAGGGTATGCCTTTGAAACTAGATCACCTCCCCATCAGAAGTCCTAGAGCCCAAGGGACGTTGTCCCAGCTGGCCGGGTGAGGCCATGCACCCCATGTTCACCTGCCTTTGGGGGAACAAGGGAATCTCTGGGAGCAGCTGGGACTGAGGAGGGCCACCTCCCTCGGTACCCCTCCATATCCAGAGAGGAAGAGCCGTGCCAACGCCCCTGGGGAGCAGCCATCCGTGCCGCACCCCTCCTTGGCCTCTGCACCTGGACACAAGGGGTGCTGAGCCTGGACCGTGATCTGCAATCTTGATATTTGGTCATCTTTGTGTTTAAACCTTTTTCTGTGTCTCTCTCTAGGAAATTCGTGTTTTTAAAAAAGAAAAAAAAAATCCTTTACACTTTAATTTGACATCATAGAGCTTTGTTTTCTCAGAATGACACGGAAGAGCTTTTTGTACCTTGATTCGTGTTTAGAATATTATCATCCGAGGATGTGCAGCCAAGATTCTGGCTCTTAGGGCCACTTGGAAAATTATTTTTCTGTGTGTTTGTCACCGACTTCTATACATTTAGGTTTATTTCTTTTAGGTTGTTTACTTTAAACATTATTTCTCCCTCCCCTTTCTAATCTGATTTTCCTTTTTGAGAACGTAAACCATTTTATGAAAACATTGTCTGCAAAGTTGTGTAAACAAGATGTGTTTCGAGCAGTCTGGCTCCCATCTCTGTCCTCTCTCCTGCCTCCCTCCCCTCCTGTCAATCACTTTGCTTATTAGTCTTGGTTTTTCTTTTCATTGATGCTTTTAAATCTGGGTATATGCGTGCATTGTGTATGTATGTACACGTGGGTGCATGCATGCGTACATGTGTGTGTTGTTATGTGCCGTCGAGTCAACTCCAACTCATACCGAACCTGTATACAACAACCCTAAACCCTGCTCTATCCCGAGCCAGCCTTACTGTCTCTGACACATCCACCATCATTATCCCAGTCACTGAGTCAATCCATCTCATCGAGGGTCTTCTTCTCTTGCACTGTCCCTCCAGCCTCCCAAGCATGATGTCCCTCACCAAGGACTGGTCCCACCTTGCAACATGCCCAGAGTATGTCAGACGGAGCCTCAGAATCCTTGCTTCCAAGGAGCAGCCTGGTTTCACCCTCCTTCCAGGATAGACCTGTTAGTTCTCTTGGCAGGCCATGGTATGATCAAAACTCACTTCCAACACCACAACTCAGAGGCATTGATTCTTCTTCTGTCGTCATTACTCATTGTCCAGCTCTCTGATGCATAACAAGTAATTTCAAAGACCATAGTCTGGATAGGGCACACCTTAATCTCTAGACTGACATCATTGCTCTTCAGTATTCTGGAGAGGTTCCTGACAGCAGATTTTTCCCAGTGCAGTTTGTCTCTTGATTTCCTGGCTGCTGGTGCTGAGAGTGTTGATTGTGGAGCCAAGCAAGCTCAAGCTATTAACAGTCTCAGTCTCTTCACCGTCTATCATGACGTAGAAGACAGACCCAGTGGTGAGAACTTCTGTTTTCTTGATGTTGAGCTTCAATCCATATTGTAGGCGTCAGGCCTTGACCTTCTGTAGGTACACACATGTGTGTAGGTATGTGTACATGTGTGTGCATGTGTGTGTGGTTGTTGACACGTACCTGTTTTGCTGTGAATGTGGGTGTGCACGTGTGTGTGTTCTTGCATGTATATACATGCATTGGTGCATATGTGTATTATGTAGCTGTGTGTATGTGCATTGATGTAGGTGTGTACTTAGAAGACGAGGCCAGGAGGCAGCCAGGTGAGGCACCCAGGTGTGCTCACCTCCACGTGCAACAGGTCTGGGTATCACTCAGTGTGGCCCCTCCCCCATTTGGCCTTTGCTCTGGAATCTCACATTGTAGGCTGGCTGGGCCCAAACCACCAACCCTGAATTGCTTCCCTGATGTTCATGGTCTCCCTCTCAGCCTCTGTCCTGTGGAGAGAGATGAGCTGTCTGGGAACTTGGCCTCCAGCAACCCCTCTGCACCCTTCTCCATAACTATTTTTGTGGGTGTTCATCTCAGGCCCACAAGTGCCCCTCAGACTGGTTATCCCTCAACTTGCACTGAATCTCAGGGATGTTTAAGCCGAGCCAAGGAGTAAGGGCTGGGGAACATGGGGGTTTAAGTCTAATGATTACAGCACCCGCGTCCTTCCTCTCACTTTCCTTCAGGTCGAGTTCCAGAAACCCGGAGTCTGAACTTGGAGAAGGCCGGAGTCAAGGTCAACCCTGAGAGTCAGAAGATCCTGGTGGACGCCAAGGAAGCCACCTCCGTGCCTCACATCTATGCCATTGGAGACGTGGCAGAGGTAGGGACCAGGTGCAGGTGTGTGTGACTGACACACCTCTCAGTCATGGCCACTCCTTGACTTCCAGGAGCTTCTAGAACTTGCTCTGTGCTCTCAAAGGTAGCTGCTCTGTATATCACAGCTTGATAACTGAGTGAGACCATGCAGTGAGTAGACTCTACTGCCCAGAGTAATCCGGAGGTCTAGCGTCCTGGACGTGGACCCGCAGGGACAGTGAGTGTCCCACTAACAGCCAGTAGGCCAGCAGCAGGGACTCACTCCCTTGGGTCTATTTCCTTGCCTCAGTTTACCCCTCTGAACTGTGGGCATCAAGGAGCAGAGCGTAGACATAGGACATAATTACTAGGGTGTGGGGTAAGGGGGCCTCCACGTGGGGGAGAAATGGAGCCTCTGCAGCACACACATGAGGACGCGGCCCCCTCCTCCCCACCAGCACGTGACTGTGGCTGCATTTCTGCTGCTGACTCCCCAGCCCCAGAGGCAGAGGCCTGAATACACGGTGAGAGTGTGACAAATACACTTCAGAGCTCACCCATCAGTCAGCACCTCCTCCATTCCAAGAGAGGGTGGGCTGGTTGATCGGGAAGCCACTCAGGCCCCCGTCCTTCAGGAGCAGTTAGCCTGGTCTGGATGGAGGGTGGTGGGGAGCCTCTGGCATGGCTGAGGGGGCCCAGTGTCATGGTGAGCATTCATCTGTCACGACTCTGGTTGGATACCAGGCATCAAGGGCACAGAACCGAGAGGTCCACGTGAGTAACATTCTAGGGGGCGGGGTGCAGATGGCAAGGAGGTAAATAGTTTTCAGATGCTTGCCGTGGTGGTCAGGGGACCGACCGATGATGAGGCAGCCGTTTTGGGAAATGCCCAGGGAGCCTGGGGGAGAATGGGGCTAGTGTGGGAAGAGCAGCCCCAGGGCCTCCTCAGAGCTGTGCTGGGCACTGGCCACAGTTATGTGCCCCCCCCCCCCGCCCCATCGGCTGAAGTGTGCACCTGTCCTCGTCCTGCTTGTTCCAGGCTGTGGGCTCAGGAGTGTGGCACGCACCTGGACTTAGACTCACACTTGGGGTAGTGTGAAGCTGGCCCTTCCTTTTTGTTCTTAAGGCCAAGCCTGCCTGTCTGACAGTTGCTCCCCAAAACGGTGCCCAGTCGGTCACCTCCCAGAGCCCTGCTGTTGGGAGGGATTGTCCCCAGGCATGAGCCAACCTGCTATGTCCTTCCTCACTCCCAAGTCCAGCAAAGCCTCCTATGAAGCTTGACTTGGGATAGAATACCTGGAGGTGGAGACAGCTGCAGATGTAGGCAATCCAAGGGTCACCCTTCTGATAGAGGTTCTGCAGGTGCCCCAAGCCAAGACAGGGATGTGTGTGTGTGTGTGTGTGTATTTGTGTATACACGTATGTGTCCTGGTGCCTCTTCTGAGCTGTGTCACTTAGAACCTTCTCGGTCAGCCACAGTGGTTTGTGTGGGAGGAGTTGGAGGACCCCACGAGGCCTGGCTGCCTGGCAGGCCAAGCCACGGGGACATTCTCACTGCTGACTTCTATGTGTGTTGTGTGTATGTGCCACCCAGAAGTACCCGCAGTGTTCCCAGAAGACAAGTGCCTGTGTGTCCTATCCATGCCTGTCTGCGAACCAGTGGAAATGTGGACCCACGTGCCCCTGGCCTCCAGCAGGGAGGACCTCAGCTGACTGCACCCTTGGGCCCCTCCCAGACTCCAGGGCTCGTAGTGATGAGGGGAGATACACAGTTCATGCAGACTGTCATCTGTTTGGGAAAACTGGAAGCCTCCCTGTTGGAAAGACCATTCTGGGCGGTCAGAAGAGTTACCGGCCTGCTGCTGCAGCGGCCACTGGGCAGAGCCTGGGGCGGGCGGGGGTGGGATTGTCTATGGCGGGTCTGCAGCGCCGAGCGGGCCTGTTTCCGCACTGAGTCAGGCCCGATGGAATGCACCGGCCGCCTGCGCGGCTTTATCTCCTCTGATCTCCATTCATTTCTGGAATGCCAAACTGCATCCGCGTTTCCTGCTGCCGCGGTGATTGGCAGCCGGCCCCAGGCAGACGCGTGCAGGAAACCAGTGGCAGTGCCACCTCCTGTTCTCCGAACGGGACGCATCCGGGACAAGCTGAGCGGGGGGGGGGGGTGTCTTCAGCAGAGTCACGCCCTCATCTGGGACCAGTCGTGGGCTGCTGTGTGTGGGGATCACCCGGGATGTTCCTGGGCCACTTCAATGTCAGCCGGTTCCTGGGCCAGTTCAATATGCTGGGTGGTGGCAGCCAGGGTGAACCCTGATTGATAGTGTCCCCACAAACAGCAGAGTGGAGTGCCCTGTATTCTACGACATTTCCATCTTAGGCATGGATTAGACCTTCAGCATGTGTGGCATTTTCACGGACTGATTGTCAGAAGATCCTTGGGTTTTCCTAGTGTGTCTTATCCTTGATGGGAATCGCAGACAGGCCTCAGTGGACAGACAGGTGTGAACTAAGCCTGGGGTGTCCCGCAGGAAAGGCGAGAAATCCACTACATCTCCTGCAGCGTCCACTGGAGGGAGCAGGGTCCCACGAGCTGTGTGCTGGGCACGGCTCTCCATGATCACCCAGGAAAGGAAAGACCGGATTCAGAGAGAAGCTATAACGAGGGTGGCAGGGACCAGGGTCGTCAGCAGACCACCTCTCTTCACAGAGGCAGATAGTAACGTTGTGTTGTGTGTAACCATAGTTGTCACCTTAGGACAGCTAGAGGGGAGTAAAGAGAGCTCAGAGAGATCCACTGAGGACCTGCACGAGGTCCCCCACATTCTCCCTGCTGGAAAATGCACCTAAAGTTCTGCAAGTGTTAACCTCCGTGGGGCTCCACAGAATACCACGCTTGGGTTACCTGAGAGGGACGCCCTCACTAGGCTTTGGGTGGTGATGCAGGGGGTCCTGCCGACTCCCTCTCCCCTGTTGACACACCTGTGTGTGTTCCTCCCTGCAGGGGCGGCCTGAGCTCACGCCCCCGGCGATCATGGCAGGAAGGCTCTTAGCCCAGCGCCTCTTTGGCCAGTCCTCAGCCCTGATGGATTACGACAACGTGAGTGGTTGCTTCTCCCAGAGTGCACTGGGGCCAGGCTGGGAAAGGCTCGCAGTGTCTCTGGGGCTCAGGAGGTGTGCGTGTACGCGCGCGTGTGCGTATATGCACCCTCTGTACGTATGCAGATGTATATGCATATGCATGTACTTGTGTGTATCTTTGTGCATACACGCAGGCACTGACATACACAGATACATGCATGTTTGCTGTGTGTATAGCTCTGCATGTATGTGCACACCCAGGCAGACAGGTGTGTATTCCTTGTGCATGTGTGTGTCTATGTGCACTCGTGCATTGATGTGCCTGTGTATATGTGTGTGCAGGTGTATATTTGTGTGTATTTGTGCTTGTGCATTTCATGGTTTATGTGTGTGTATATGTGTGGAGTGTAGCAGATGCATGTGTGTACGTGTATATATGGGTGTGCACACATGTGCAGGTGCACACAGAAGGTCGCAGCTGTATGTGTGTGCATGTGTATACGTGGGTGTGCACACATGGATGTGTGTGTGGAGGGGAGCAGGTCTGTGTGTGCATGTGTATACGTGGGTGTGCACACATGGACGTGTGTGGAGAGGAGCAGCTACGTGTGTGTGAATGGGAGCAGGTCTGTATGTGCGTGTGTGTATGTGGCTGTGCAGACACACACGTGTGTGTGCATGGAGGGCAGCTCGGTGGCCATCACCCGGGGTTGGGTGAGTGCAGTGAGTCCAGGAGCCTGCAGGCAGCCAGGCAACAGCATGTGGGGTCCTCGGCTGCACCTCCTTCTCTTTGCATTGTTGGGTGTGGGCTTCAGATGAGGGGTAACTTCATCTGAAGAGGAAGAGATGCGTTCAAAGGGGACCTGCCTTCCAGGTTCCCACAACGGTCTTCACCCCGCTGGAGTACGGCTGCGTAGGGCTGTCGGAAGAGGAGGCTGTGGCTCGGCACGGACAGGAGCACATTGAGGTGAGGCCATTCCCAGGAGCCGGCCTGCCGGTGACTCCTGTGCTGGGCCCAAGCCCCATCAGAGGCTTCTTCCTGATGGGGGCCCAGCCGGCAGGCATAGCAGTGTCCTCGCTTCCAGCCTGAGGCTCGCTGGGCCAGCAGCCGGCAGGCCTGGGGTGGAAGCCCAGAGCAGGGCTGGGTGTGGCAGGCATGGATGCTGGGGACCTGGGAGAGTGAATGAGGGACATCCTCAGCTCTTGGAAGGCTGTGGGGTGTCCTCCACTTTGTGTTGAGGTGATGCCACTCTGCCTTCCACACTGCAGGTGAGCCCAGTACCACTGAGGTCTCTGCTATAGGAGGCCCCCTGCTCCCTCCCCCGGTGAGGTCACAGGGCGGTGGCCTACTTGGCCGTGTCCTAACATGCCAACCTGAATTTCTCGCTGAATGCCCAGAGAGCAGGTTCCCTCAGTGGCCCTGACTCTCACAGGGGCTCAGTGAGGTGTCGCTTTACTTTGCTTCTCTTTATTTTCCACCACCCTCTGATCCTGGGGTACCCTCCCAGCCCCCTCTTGCCCTCCTCTCGGCTGAGCTAATGTATCAGGCCCAGCATGGCCTGTCCCTGAGCACCCCTGCCTTCCTCCTTCCCCCCACCGCCCAGCATGATCTCCTACCAGTTTCTGGTCCCCACGACTCTGCCAGTCCTTTCAGAGCCCAGCAGCCCAGGTCTGGCCAGAGTGACCCCGCTCTGCTTCTTTTTGACAAGGCCATTCCACACGGTCTCTCGGTGACCCGCAGCGGTGCTGGAAGGCTCCCGAGACTCTGGGTGCTACGGTTTCCTCCCAGGCTTGCTCGGGAGACCAGGCACCACCCAGCCACTGTGGGGGGCACGGTGTCTGGTGCTGCTTGGGGGAGAGTCACTGGCTCCAGGGACAGCCCCTTTTCCACGCACCCCACTCTCCTCCGTCAGTGGGACGTGGCTGACAGGCCGGCCTCCCTCACAGTGCTGTATTTGCTATTTTTGTTTGATTCATCACAAGTGCACGGAGACATATGTTCGTGGCATTTATAATGTTGTTTTATGTTTCACGACGTCGAATGGCCAAACGCCCGGTGTTTGTTTTGTTTGCCCCGATCCTGTTTTGGTTAGAACAATATTCTCTGCAGCGCAATTAATTAATAATGGCTGTGTCGCACATGTGCGGGCCCTGCTCATTTTTTACCCTGTCGCAGCCCCTAGGATGCTGTCGAGTCCTTGGCGGGTGCTGAAAGCCCTTATCCAACCGCACCAGTGTGGGCCGGCCGCCTCACTCCAGTGAGGGCCCAAACCAGAGCGGGGGCTGCCCCAGGGAGGCTGAGTGACTGCCCCCCACACAGCGTACTCCCTGCTCCACCAGGGTGGGCAGGGGTGTCCCACTCCCTGCATCCTGCTGACCACGGGCCCAGCTGCCTGCCCTGTGAATGTCAGGCTGCTGTGTGTGCTTTAGGCTGGCGCCCCTGATGGCCTGCATTGAACCTTGGGCAGTGCAGGGCCTGGCCCGAGTCGGGGGCTCTGTGGTTAGCCTGGCACTCACCTGGTTGCTGCTGGAATCCACAGGGGTCTCTGAGCCTGGCGTCCACCCCTCAGAGACCTCCCCAGAAGAGGCACACACGCGTGGCCAGCCGCAGGAGGCCTGCATGTGACAAAGCAAGATGCCTGCAACTGGAGCCGAAGCTCGCTCTACCCACGGGCTGCAAGCCCACCTCTTACCTGTCACCTGCCCAGCCATCTGCTGGGAAAATGACCCGCAGGCCGTTTTGTGTCTCATCCAGGTTTATCACGCGTATTATAAACCGCTGGAGTTCACAGTGGCTGAGCGGGATGCGTCCCAGTGTTACATAAAGGTGAGTGACAGGGACAGGGGCGTGCCTGGGAAGTAAGGGGAGGAGAGAGGGAATGGGGTGGATGCCAAGGGGTGGGAGCCTCATGCACCCCCCCCCAGGACCTCTTCCCATGGAGCTGAGCAGTATGGCTGTCCCAGGGTGGGTTCTAGCTCCCTATCCTGGCATCTCAGCACCACCTCCATCACCTCAGTGTCTGAGTGTCAGTGTTCCTGCGGGGTGGGGGCAGGGTGCACCCTGGGGGCCACCCCTCCATCCGCAGAGGGGAAGGCTGACCGTATGGCTTTCAGATGGTGTGTCTGCGGAAGCCCCCACAAGTGCTGTTGGGTCTGCATTTCCTCGGCCCCAATGCAGGCGAAGTCACTCAAGGATTTGCTCTGGGGATCAAGTAAGTCCTAAGGAATGTCCCTGTCACGCTGTGCACGGAGTGTCCCTGCTGGATGCTGGTGGCACTGCAGGCGGAACTCCTCTGTTAGTGGGGCGATTCTGTTAATGTTTGTCTAATATTTATTGATGTTGCATTTTTCATTTCTGTTGTGTTTATGTAATATTTTCTTGATGTTGTGCACAATTTTGTGCTGTTACATTTATGTTTTGTGCTGTTACATTTATGTTGCATTGTGCATGTTTTATGATGTTACCCTTGTGTAGAATTTAAGTATGTAGCTCTCTGTATGTCTGTGTGCTGTTTGTCTTATTTATGTAGCATTGTGCATGGTTACGTGATGCTGTGTTTACATAGCATTGTGCGTGTTTATTTACTGTTGCGTTTGGGTTGCATTTACATAGCATTGTGTACAACTGCAGCAGTTTCTCCAGGCCTTTACCTATACCCACCAGATTCACTGTCCCTAAGGCAGTGTTTGTCCCTAGCTAGAAGCTGTTGAGCCAGAGCTGCACACTGTCCCTCTGTGACTGGCCACTGCAGACGGAGGATTAGGCTCAGGTCCCCACAGCATCTTTCTAGAATTTATTATCTTCTTTTCATGTGACTTGCACATTCAGAACCTCCCCTTTTTTGTTGTTGTTGATGGGGGGTTTTTTATTCTTTTTTTGTTTTATTTGTTTAGATCCTCGCTTTTAAAAATTAGGTTATTTGGGAGCTCTGGTGGCCTAGTGGCAAGAAGCTGCACTGCAATCCCAGAGGTGCACAGTTCAAATCCACCAGATGCTCTGCTGGAAAAGGATGGACAATTTCCTCCTGTACCAGTCAGATCTGATTTGACAGTACATGCCCAAAACAATAATTAAAAAAAAAATAGGTTATTTGCCTCATTATTGTTGATTTACAAGAGCTCTTTGCATATTGAGGGAATCAGCCAGTCCCAGCTTGGCTCCTATGTGGTGCTGCTCTTTGTTCACTTCTCAGTTGTTGTTGTTGTTATGTGCCATCAAGTTGCTTACAACTCATAGCTACTCTATGTACAACAGCTCTGAACCCTGCTCTATCTTGAGCCAACCTCATTGTCTCTGACACACCTACCCCCATTACCCCAGTCACTGAGTCAATCCATCTCATCCAGGGTCTTCCTCTCCTGCGCTGTCCCTCCACTCTTCCAAGCATGCTGTCCCTCTCCAGGGACTGGTCCCTCCTTACAACATGTCCAGAGTATGTCAGATGGAGCTTCAAAATCCTTGCCTCTCCAGAGCAGCCTGGCTTCACCCTCTCCAGGATGAACCTATTTGTTCTCCTAGCAGTCCATGGTATATTCAATACTCTTCTCCAGCACCACAGCTCAAAGGCATCAGTTCCTCTATTGTCTCTAGTCATTGTTCAGCTTTCTGATGCATACACATAATTGCAAAGACCATGGCTGCATCAGGCTCACCTTAGTCTCCAGACTAACATCATTACAAAGCATTTTTTTACCTCTGGCCAAGTAGAAGAGGGGGCATTTTATAGACTAGGAAGGGCACAGAAATCGGAGGTGGGCGGAAGGAGCAGATGCTTCCACTCTGAAAGGCTGTCAATATGAAAATCCAAAGTCTCTGTAAATTTTCATTGAAATTAATAATAAATTTAAAAAAAAAGGCTGTCAGGGCCTAAGGGTTCAGACCAGATTCTCCCAAGAACACCAAACCCCACCCATGGGCGGCCTGGCCTCTTCAATGGGATCCTTCCTCTTGTAGTTCCTACCAAGTGGCCTTGGGTCCATCATGACAGGGAAGTGAATATCCCAGACTCCTGCAGGCCTCCTTGTTCTTCATGTATGGAATGGAGTCGGATGTTGGGGAATCAGATTCTTCCTAAGCAAGGACCACACAGGACAGCATGGAGGGCTGGGTCCAGGAACCAGGACCCCAGATGGGCTCATGTCCTTAGAGCACATGTCTGAAATCCCAGATCATAGGGATGCCCATCAAAGAGTGACCTCTGCACAGAATGGCCACTGGAAGGGAGCCTAGGAGTCCAGTGTGCGCTCTGCGCTCTGCCTAGGATCCTGCCCAGGATCTGGCTGTAGAAGCTAAGGGCGACTTCTGGGACCCTCAGGGGCACTTCCCACAGGCTGTCCCTGTTCATAACCTGGCAGGCGGATGCATTTGCTGGCACCAGTGCACAGTCTCTGGAAAGGCAGGCCTTTGTTACAATGCAACTGCCAAAGGCTGATTGCCTCAATATGCAAAGAGCTCTTGTCAATCAACAACAATAATAATGAGGCAGACAACCCAAAGGAGAAAGGGAAGATCTGAATGTGCAAGCCACATGAAAAAAAGATAAAAATAAATTTGAGAAAGCCACGGTACCTCATTCAGACTTCTGAAATGTAACTGGAACACCACGAAACCATTTCAGTAGTGGGAATTAGAAGAGTTGACCTGTCTAGTGGTGGTGAATTCAGGGGAGCCACAGAGGGCTGGACGGAGCCATCAGGAGGAGGATGAAGGCTCAAAGCCCTCTTTGTTCCTGTGTGCAGATGCATCCTTTGTTCACACTGGAGATTTGTCCACTAGATCTTCCAGCACACACCTTCCAAGACAGATGAGGAACTGTGTGTTACAGTCTTGTCTCTAATGGCTAAAAAAGGGTATCTGTTAGCATCTGTGTCCTGCTAGGGCCGGGTACACCCAGCTGGGAAGTTCCTTGAGAAGCATTTGTGGGTGGTTACTGTGGATGTGCTTGGTGGGAAACCACTGAGATACCCACCTTTAACCCAGACCCTTTGAGCAGGCAGGCTGGGAGATGCTGACTAGAGGGGCAGCCTGGAGAACCCGGGTCACTGGGCCCTTCACAGCTTTTGCCTCACTGAGCTGGAAGCAGAAATAGGCCAGGTCTGTGCCAAATGAGAAGTTAGTACCCAGATAAGCCTTGGGCACTTGGACACAGCCTTTGTGCCTCATGTGAAAAGTACTGGGTGCTGAGAAGAGGACATTGAGCAGGGCCACGTGGTAGCCAGGCTGGGGCACTAGCTGCAGTGGGGAACAGGCTTGTTCATCACAGGCAATTCTAGGAGCAAGCCAGGCAGAAGGAGCAGCCAGGGCTGTGGGCTGGAGGGTTTGTTTCCGGTGGACTTGGAGCAGTGGGAGTGGAGGGAGGTGGGATCCCATGGCCATGGCAGGAGCTGGGCATTTACTCAGAGGGAGATAGGACCCCTCTGTCCGGTACAGCACGTGTTCCTCATGGCTGGCTGGATGGAGGAGAGCGAGGTGGATGGCAGTGGGATAGTGAAGAGACTCTGAGGCTGTGACCTCCCCAGCCCCTCATGGCCTCTGCCTTCTGGACAGTGTACCCAGCTCTCCACCCAGAGGCTGACTCCTCCCTGTGGTCTCCTCTGTCCAGGTGCGGTGCCTCCTACGCACAGGTGATGCAGACGGTCGGCATCCACCCGACCTGCGCTGAAGAGGTGGCCAAGCTGCGCATCTCCAAGCGCTCGGGCCTGGACCCCACGGTGACAGGCTGCTGAGGTTAAGCTGCCGTCCCTGCAGGGCCAGGCACACGGCCTCCAGGCCACCACACGGTGTCAAGCCTCACCGAGCCCCAGACCCAGGTACACATGAGTGAGTGTGTGTGTGTGTGTGTGTGTGTGTGTGTGTGTGTGTGTGTGTGTTTGTTTGTGTGCGTGTGAGGCTCCACGTTGAGGATGGAGCACGCGGGGCATGGTGCCCAGAGCTGCTCTCACCCAGCGTGTGGCAAGATGATACAGCTCTGCAGGTCGGTGTCACCTCCGCCCGCTGGGTGCTACCCTCCATCGGGCACCCAGGGAGCTGCAGTCAAGGCTAGGCTCTGTTGCTGGTCCCTGTCCTCGCTGCCCCTATCCAATCACAGGGTGAATGGCGGCTTCTGTTTCTCCCCTGCCCCAGAGGTGGAGGTGCTGCTCCATGCACATCACCCCTCTGCACATCTGCTTCTGGTGCAGCTTCTCAGTGGTGGGCGGAGCCTCGAGGCAGGACTGGGCTGGGGAGGAGGAAATGGCGAGTCCCGCCCTCACGCTTACAGATGGACATGTGTGCTTCTTGTCCTGCATGGACCCCTCCTGAGGGGCCTGCCACCATGCACTGGGACTGTCAGCTGCCCCCAAAACTGGCTGGCCTAAAGGCTCCTCTCAATGTGTGTCCTGAGGGCGGAGTCCATCCACAGCCCACCAAGTGAGTCTGCCTTTGGTATAGACAGGACACAGCAAGAAAGGTCTTATTGACAAACTCAGCTTCCCAGAGTTGTTGTGTTAATAGCCCTGGGGGACAGGTACTTGTTCTCTGTTTATCATTTAAAAATATTGTTCTAACAGTGTCTTACTCCCAGTAACTGTACCTGGTTAGCGTGGGGTGGAGGGAGGGGAAGAAGCAGGGGTACCTGCCTTTGGGCCTAGGGTGTGGCAGTGGCCAGGGTGGCCTCTCTGCCCTGACCCCACTTTGTCTGCAGGTCCACTGCAGGATGCGCTCATTGTGGCCTCCTCTGGCCTCCTGTGGCCCCCTGAGAGCTGGTGTGCTATGGCCACATCTACACCGACTGCCAGTGTGCCCGCAGAGATTGGCTGAAGTGGCCCTCATGCTGCCCCCCACCCTCTGCCTTGGCCAGCCCAGTGGCCCCCAAGTGCCAGATGATGACGACCTGGGTGGAAACCCACCCTGTGGGCTGCCCATGTCTGAGCCCCCTGGCATATCTGGAGTGCAAATAAAGGGTGTTTTCTTTTTTCTTGTTTGTTTTTTAAAATTGTGTGTGTGTGTGTGTGTGTGTGTACACCATCAAATCGGATCTGATTGGTACAGGAGGAGGCTGTTCCTCCTTCTCCAGCAGAGCATCTGGTGGATTAGAACCATGCACCTCTGGGATTGCAGTACAGCTTCTTGCCACTAGGCCACCAAAGGGTGTTCTCTATGCATCGTGTTCCTGCATGGTGGGCGGGGGTTCCAGAGGGTGGGCAGACCCTAAAGCTCCTGCTCCGCAAAGGAAGCTGCCAGGTGCCCAGTCAGAGTCCCCCCTGGACTTCGCAGCCAGGCCACCCTTGGCGCTCACTTGCGGGGCCAGCTCCAGAGCTCTGGGGGCTCGGCTGCAGGACAACGGTGTTTCTGAAGCTCCCTGCGAAGCTCCCTGTCGCTTTGCGCGCCACATTGGCCTCCAGCAGCCTGCGCTCCTGCTAATCCCCGCGCTGCAGCTCGCTGTGGAGGGAGCGCACCCGTCAGTCACCCAGGAGACAGCGCTGACAGGGCGGGCGGGCCTGCATTGTGCTGGGGCTTTGCGGCAGCTCATCGCGTGTCTGCTTAAGAAAACATCACTTAGTCTGCCGGCCTGGAGCCGTGGATGGGACCCTGCTTGTCAGTGAACAAAGGAATGTCTTTCCACCTTAATGGGCTGAGTGAAGCCTGCTGACGGGCTGGTGTGAAGCAGGTAGACGCTCAATTAAGATGCCAAGTGCCCTGGGCCCGCTGCCCTCTGACAAGTGCAGCGAGATCAGCTGTGTCCCATTGAATGCACGGCTGCCACCACGCCCTGCTGCCAGCAGGTCCCCAGGAGGGTGCGCCTTGAGGGCGTGGGAGTCCAGGGGAACCTGTTGTGGGTCCACAGAAGGTACCGTGTTGGCCCTTGAGGTCCTGAGAAGGGTCCCTGCCTGGGCCATATTGAGGAACTTGAAGATGACTTTTTTGTAGTGTTGTGTACCCTGGAGTCAGAACTGACCCATAGCTGACGCTCCAGCAGGTTTTCAGAGACAGTTAATCAATCTCACGGGAGGAGATTGCCCATCCTTCTCCCGTGGACCAGCTGGTGGCCTCGAACCGCATGCAAGTTGTTTGTGTGTGATTATATAATTATTGTTGTTGATTGCCTTCAAGTAGGAACCGACCCACCGCTGACTCGACAGCAGATTTTCCGAGATGATAAATTATACAGGAGAAGCTCACGATAAATTACACGAAGCTCATTGATGCAAGCTGCATCGCTTTGGGATTGCAGTGCGCTTCTTACCACTAGGCCACCAGAGCTCCCCGATTATAAAACTACTAGACTATCGATGAGGCAGGTCATCTTGCTGGTCCCCCTTGGTCAGCCCCGGAAGTCCCTTCTCTGGACACATCTAGCCTCCTCAGATGGGGCACACTCCCTTAAACACTGGTGGCTGGCGGTCAGTGGCCACCACCCATCTGCTTCCCTCATTATACCCCAGGGAGGGAGTGAAATGCTTGCCCACCAGTGACCACCAGGCACTGTGGACCTGCAGATGACCATGTAATCGCAGCATGGGGAGTGTCCTCAGTCTGCAGAGGCCACTCCTGCTGCCACCAGGCAGCCGTGGTGTCGCTTGCACATCCCCTGCAGCGTGCACAAGCTTATAATCATCCCGTTGCTGGCAGCAGGCAAAGGGCTGCCGAGAGGAACTGAGCCCAGGACAGTGGATTCTGGACTGCCCTCTGGCCAGGCCTCTCAGCATGCACGCATGGCTGGACCAGACCCCAGTGGACCCCATGGGCACTGACCCACCCTCCTGTACTGGAACCCTGGAGCACAGGGTCAGGAGGAGAGGCAGACAGGCTGCTTCCCTGGGTGGCCAGTCCCCTGCCTGTCCTCAGGTCATGGCAGGCACTGCACACGTGGGTCTGGTTAGCCCTTTAGGTCCATGCAGAGGTGGCTTCTGTCCTGCGTGGTCCTAGGACAAGGCAGGTGGGGGTTTAGGGGAGAAGGGCAGGCACTTGCCACCTTCCTGCTGTCTTGGCAGGTTTTTATGTTGCAATGAAAATATGATCCTAGGGGAGCTCTGGTGGCCCAGTGGCAAGGAGCTGCAACTACAATCCCAGAGGCGCATGGTTCGAATCCACCAGATGCTCTGCCGAGGAAGGAGGGACAATCTCCTCCTATACCAGTCAGATCTGATTTGACGGTACACGCACACAAAAATAATTTAAAGAATAGAAAATATGATCCTAATTCCTCGGATTGTTCTCTGCAGCCTGCAGTCACTCTTGATGACGTCCTGTGCACGCTGCTTTGGCTCCTAGTTGGACAGTGATGTGGGGGCAGGGGGCAGACGGGGAGAAACAGCAGGGTAGGGGGTGGGGCCTCACTTTCGTTCAGAGATGGATAGGGTTGCCTCCTGCTGGCCACCATCCCTCCATCCTCTGCGGTGCCCAGAAGTCCTTCATGGTTCCCAGGGGTGGCCTGGGTGGCGAATTTGCACAGCAGCACCGGACTGAGGGCCCAAGGGACACAACGGTCCAGGTAGGGTCCTAACGGTAGCCAAGATGCTCCAGCTGCAGGCCCCCACCAAACTCACCCGAGGGTCCCACTACCCTACCTAGGGCTCCTGTCTTCAGCAGCAGCAGGAAGCCACCCTGGACCCCCCACTTCCTACCCCTGCCCACCAGCCAGGGGAAACTGCCCTGCTGGCTTGCTCCTTCTTCCTATCAACTTCTCTGGTACCCTCCTTGGCCCTTCTTGTGTTCTGGACAGGCACACGTGTGGCAGGAGTGTAGTTAAGGCCAAAGCAAAGGCTTCTCTTCCTGGAAACATCTCATTTCCACAGGTTTCCAGTTTGGCTAGTGCATAAACGTGTCTAGACGGGGCCTTTGAGGTCAGAGGACCTGAGGTTCTCCTGGGAGATCTTCCTCAAAGGTAGGCCCATCCACCTTGGCCTCGAACCTAAGATAGCTCTCCCTGCTGGACCTGGGGGCTGTGCCTTTTTCTTGACCGCGGAGGCTTGGAATCAGAACCAAGCAGGGATGCTGCTGTGCCAGCACAGGGCAAGTCCTGGTCTGGGCAACCCGCCTGGCAGAGCTTGGCCATGCAGCTACCTGAGGGCCTGAGTCCTAGGCCTTTCGCTCCTTGCCCCCCCCCACCCTGAGCCCTGAGCTTACTTTTGCCTCCTGTGAGTTGGCAGAGCCACTTGATTGACGTTTCTCTAGTCCCTGCCCCCTGGGCTATGACAGGGACTGCCCTGGGGGACCTGTCAGTGGAGAGATCTCTGAGGACCTAAATCCCCATAAGCCTCAGGGCCGGCCGGTTCCTGGTCCCCATCTTTCTTAATTCCACCTTCTCCTCCTCACTTCTGGTTAGACAGCCCTGGTGCCAGTGCCTTAGAGAACCCAGAATCACAGGGGACATTGGACCCAGTATCCTCTTCTGTCCCATCCATGCTTGCTTCCCCTGCCCCATCTTAGACCTGGCTGCATGGTCCTGCGAATGTCCTTCAGTCCTTCCTGTGCCAGCAGGGATAGAAAGAAATCAACAGAAATGCAGAGGTACCCTGATTGGACCTTCCCCAGAGGAAGGCCGAGGTAGAGGACCTCAGACATGGCCACTCTCACCACTTCCTGTTCCCAGAAACCACCGCGACCAGGGGAGGGTGGACTGAGGGCAGCAGCAAGAGCCTTAACTCCCACTGAATTCCTGGTGAATAGTGTCCACCTCGGGCTGCACCCCTCCATCCTTACTGTGGGGGAGCAGTAGCCAGGAGTTCCTGGACGCTGGCCAGGT